GTCATGGAGGATTGGAGCGCCGCGGTGGAGGATGGAGAGCCGGTGGATGTGGCGTATCTGGACTTCAGCAAAGCCTTTGATTCTGTTCCCCATAACCGTCTGCTCTCCAAGCGTCATGCTTACGGCGTGAGAGGTAATTTGCTACGCTGGATTAGGGCTTTTCTTACTTATCGGATGCAGAGAGTGCGGGTCCAGGGATCGAAGTCGGACTGGACCGACGTCGTCAGCGGCATCCCGCAAGGGTCAGTTACTTGGACCAACGCTGTTCATTATTTTCGTGAACGATCTGCCAGAGCAAGTGCGAAGCGTGGTCAAGATGTTTACGAATGACACCAAGGTCTACTGTCGTGTCCCGAGACCCCTGACTCACTCACCTCTGCAGGCTGACCTCGACGCCCTAGCCAAGTGGTCAAAGGAGTGGCTGCTCCCATTTAGTGCAGCAAAGTGCAAAATAATGCACATCGGGAACTGCAACCCGAGGCTGACGTACTTCTTGGACGGTGCCGAAATCGCGGTCGAGTCCACCGAGAAGGACCTCGGGATCTTCATGGATTACCGGCTCCAGTTCCACGTGCAGACGGCGGAAGCGACCTCCAAGGCCAACCAGATGCTGGTGGTCGTGAGGCGGTCTTTTGCCAATATCGATGCTCGCACGTTGCCATTCCTTTTTAATATCTTAGTACGTCCGTACTTAGAGTATGGCAACGTTATCTGGGGCCCGTTCGGCAAACTGGACCAGAAACGGCTGGAACGAGTTCAGCGACGAGCTACCCGGCTTGTCTATGAAGTGAGGCGCCAGCCATACCCTGAGAGGCTTAGACTCCTTCAGCTGCCCTCACTGTACTATCGTCGTCGCAGGGGAGGCATGGTAACAGTGTACCAGCTATTTCACGGAGGCATGTCGCTATCGGAGGAGGAGTTCCTGACAAGGCACAACTCGGAGGTGGTAGCGAGAGGGACACCAATGGAAGCTCAGAAAACCTCGAGCTAGGACTCTCGTCCGTCGCAACTCATTCAGCACGCGGGTTGTCAACGACTGGAACGCTCTTCCACACCCGGTCGTGTCGTCGACCTCAACTGAACAGTTCAAGGCTAGGCTTGATACGCACTGGGCTGACCTCATGTACGACGTCCCACACTGAATCTTCCCATAATTTGAGACTGTTGGTTACCGGACCGGGAGCCTGACGAGACCGGGACCTACAGGCCTAGTGGCCTTTTACAATTCCCGATCACCATAAGGTAAGGTAAGGTAAGGTATGACGTCGAGAAGCTACTCATCTGCCGCTCACCTCGGACTGGACTTTTCAATTTCAATGATATGCTCTCTTATCGTAAAATCCAAATTGCAGATCAGATCCGTTCAGATTGCCTGTTTATCGGCCATCATTCCCCTCGCAAAAAAACAAACTTTTGCTGGTATTGGTGAGGAGATAAAGGACTGTGAAAAAAATATTCGTAAGACGTTGAATATGGTGTAACTAAATACCTTATAATTTGGCGCATGCTCGACACATACGGACGGTACGGAGTGTGATCCAGTAGCATTCCTTTAAAACGAGCTTGTTGGAGAGGTGCCGTTGGTTAGGCCCAAATTCGACCAGTTGTGCCTATTTGCTATAATTATGAGCACATCTGCCCTTAAGCAAGCTCTTTTATTGCTGTTGGGGAGACTTCTGTGCGTCGAAGGCTTAATGTTCCAACTGCATCCCAACAATCATAAGTGCCTCGCTGAAAATGTGCATGCCAAAACGCTCGTTACTGGGGAATATGAGGTTTCCGAAGTCCCAAACCAGGTGGTACATTTTCAGGTAAGCAAGGGCTGGCTGCATGCAGTACAAATTTTCATGCTTGCTTCATTTTAGAATGCTCATATGTGGAAGCATGCTCATCTGCTGGACAGATCAGTCAAAACATATGGTTAAGTTCATGCAGATGGCGTGTTCTTCCGCATGCCATTTTTTATTATCATTGATATATATATATATATATATATATATATATATATATATATATATATATATATATATATATATATATAGTATGATGTATATTATATGTATATATAATGTATATTATTATAATTAGTAATGACTGATGAAGTAGTCCAACTTATCATAATTAGTAATGGGTGGGGCTGGTCTTAAGTGATCTAAGTTATTTATTTTTGTTGTTTAAAGTATTTCATTGATATATTTCAGCATGCACAGCATACTCACAACTGGCCTACTAATTTAGACAATGAACAGTAATCACCATCTTCAGATTTTAGGAACTGTGTACATGAGACCTTTTTGAAGAAAAGTGGTATTGTATGGTGACTTTTAGGTACAATAGTGGGAGAAGGCTGTATATGTCACAATGTCCTACATGTAGTGAGTGGAACACAATTTCAATTGTGCCATTTTTTAAGAAAAAAGGCACTTAAGCAGTCCACTATTCCCATGCAGAACATAATGGATAAAACATCATATTTTCATTGTTTATGTATATGCAATCTTTTTGATCCAAATTTGATGGTTGCTCCAGCACACTGCTTGGGATAGATCTGATGCTTCATCTGATCTGGTTGGATTAGGTAGCTATTGTGCTAATAGCATGATAATTAAGCCAAAAGATCCAGGCTTTGTTTTTTGTGACAGAGCTCAAATCCCTGACATCTGTTTCCCCATCCCCCACATCTGCTGATGTGAACTTTTGCTGCTAATTATCTGTATATTAATAAGCAGATGCTTGCAATGTGTGTAATTCTAAAGGAATATTGGTGCCAACCAAAGATAATCACTGAATGATGTTTTTAAAAATAGTCAAACAGCCAAACTAGGACATGGGGGAAAATGTGGCATTGAGATGCAGATGGCAGGTGGTAGCTTACTACCCTGGCCATGGGGCAGGCTAGGCTCTTCCTGCAGGCCAGGTTTTGGAGCCCTGGCCCAGGAGAGGGATGTAACCATGTGGTCTGTTGGTTAAAGGTACCTGCCATTTACTCAGGCTTACCAAGGCTTTTTTAGTTATTTGACACGATATAGTATGCTTTCAGGTGATTGATCAAGATAGCCATGTGTTGGCCAATCGGCAAGAGGCCAAGGGGCATGGGAAGTTTGCCTTCACCACAGATAAAGACACAAAGTTTGAAATCTGCTTTGTTTCAAGTGTGCAAGCAGGTATGTAACCATATTTATGAAAATCATGCTGCATTTGCATTCACTATGATCTATATTGTATTACATCAAATAGATAAGTTTCTTTTATGTTGATTTGTATTATTTGTATGTGGTGTCAGCATTCATTTGGGTCATTAAGGAAAATTTGGTAAACTGTTTTGACATCTAAGCATGCCAAAACTTTTCTTATTATATCAAGGATAGCAATGGATGGTGTTTAGGTACTTAGGTACAGTGTGGCTGGAATTATCCATGTGTTGTAATTTTTGAAGTACTTTTCAAAGCTCTTGGCTGGGGAGTTGGTCTTTCTTGGTACTTACTTGCAAGATCTGCATTGTGATTTGAAACACTGCTTTTGTGAAAGCCATAGGATCTCATCATCAGAGATGCATCATAGGCTCACAGAAACGATAATTTTGTTATCAGGATGTGATGTGTTCCAATTGCAGGACAGTCAGGTCTGGTTCATGACATCACTCTTACAACCAAGCATGGTGTGGAAGCAAAGAGCTATGAGGGGGTAAGTTATGGATGTAAACTTGATAGAGTTTCCATGGATAAGTATTTCAGTCTCATAATCACTCAGTATTTTAGGTAAGATCCCTAAGATATTTGTTCGAATTTTTGGCTTTAAGGCAACATGAAAGTTGTTGTTTTGCTTTTGGTTTGCTTATCTGCACTTGAAAATCTTTGAAAAGGGATAATTCAGACGGTTTTTCTGTTTCTCTGAAGATTTTTTATTGGGCGTTCTAATGAACAATGACCTTATGAGCTCCCTCAATCTTGGAAATCATATGTGCATGTGTGACAAATGCTACTCTGCTGAGTTGCCTTTGCTTACGCGATCTTTCGGTGCCTCTTTGCTAGCGGTGGTCGCGCTCCCACTGCCGCTGGCCCGACCAGATCTCGGTGCGAATCGTCGTCAGACGCCTCACATCTGACCTAACCTGACCTGACCGCGGCAGCTGGCCGACGCGGCTAAGCTGAAGCCGCTGGAGATGCAGCTCAAGAAGCTGGAGGACCTGTCAGAGGCCATCGTGCAGGACTTCGCCTATATGCGAGAGCGCGAGGAGCAGATGCGCGACACAAACGGTGAGCTGCGGGTCTTGCCAGCGGTCGCGCGAGCACGGTCCGGGGGAGGACGGAGGACGGAAGACAGAGGACGGTCCTCCCTCTGTCGCCAGGTGCACCTGCCAGCATCAGTTGGAACAGAGATTACATGTGGTTAGACCCCAGCTGATCGGCTTCGACTACGGCGAGTCGAGCATTTCAAGTGACGAGCTTACTAGGGCACCTCTCGTTCGCAGAGTCGACCAGCTCGCGGGTGATGTACTTCAGCCTGTTCGGGCTGTGCTGTCTGCTCGGCCTAGCCACGTGGCAAGTGTTGTACCTGCGCCGCTACTTCAAGGCGAAGAAGCTAATCGAGTAGCGGGAGGCGGTGCGGGAGGTCGTCCGAGTCCGTCCGGGTTTGGGCTGTGTGGAGTCCGGCACCGGACTATGCGTCCGTCCTTCTGCCGCGTGCCGGCGTGTGCGCAGCATGCCACTGTCGCGAGCACCCGCCGACTTACACGCAAAGCGGTGCCCGCTGGCTAGCGGGCGAGAGCAGATTGGGGAGCGCGTGATAGCGGTCGTTTGTTTTGCTTTAACGGGCACCTTCCTGGGAGCCGTCACGATCGTCTCTGTTTTGTCAAGCTGCTGCTTTCTTGTTTGCGGGTTGTCACTTGCGGTCGCAGGCGTGCAAATATGGGGAGTTTGTGGTGCGGTGCTGTTCGGCTCATCCCTCGGTGCGAGAGGAAACGCGCCGGAACTGGGCCGGCTCAACAAATACAGCCGAAAGAATGATACAAATGTATTTGCGTATGTGCGTCACATTATCATGCTTCCGCCCACTCCACGTACCCGACTGTCGCCACTGATGCCGCCTGCTGGCCGTCCGGCCGACCAGAGCGTCCGGCGGCAGGCGAGAGGTGACGCCGCCGCGCCGGCCCAGCGTTACCTCGGCGCCCGCACACCCACACAGACGGATACAAGGCGCGACGGCTCGCGGGCCGCGCCACCCAGTCTGCGGTACACAAGCCGGTGCGCGTGCGCGTCCAGGGCACCTGCGTGGTTACGGACAACTGCCAGAGCTCGTGCTGTCTCGATCGGCGGCCGGGCCGGCGTGGTCTCGGCCGCCGGGCCGAGCCGGCCGACCGGCGCGAGGTCAGCCGGAAAGGCCGTCTCAGGGCGCCGAGGCGAGCAGGACACGGCAAACCCGGCACCGCCTCGACGCCCCAGGTAATACAAGCAAGCCTCGCGGCGTCACCGCCGGCAGCACCCATACAAAACCTACGGAATGCTACGCCCGCCGTCTACAAAACATATCACACGCCAGCAACGAATCGTCGAACACCATTGTAAGAAAGACACGGTTTGCAAGCCTGGCCGGCTAAGTCCGGCCGAAGCGGACCACGTCGCGAGAAAAGCCACACTGCCGCCTGCGGTGGGGCCCGCGCCTGTCTGTGCGGTACGAGACTGGCGCTGGGCGGCGCGCCGGCCGGACCGCCTCGGCTGTCCTCCACCGGCCTTCGCCCAGCGCGGCTCCCACCCGCCGGTGCTGCTCCGCGTCAGACAGCGCGCGCGCGCGCCCCCACTCTCGGCCCGGCGCCGACCGACCGCACCGCTGCCGCGTCGGCAGGCCTTCCAAGACACTGTAAAACTCACACCAGCGACGACCCGCACACCCGACCGTCAGCCTCACGACTGTCACCGCCTCACTTGCTGGCCGAACCAAACCGTCACCTAGCAATCTTCGCCGGTCCGTAAAGCTCACGCCGGGAACGGCTCGTAAACACAGCCCTCACTTGTCCGTCCTCCGCCTGCCTCCAAGCCCGCGCTCTTCGCACTGGCGCACCACCCCGCCAGCTGAGCTCTCGCCCGACTCGGCGCTCGTGTCGGCCGCGGTGCTGCTCACTCGGCCGCCTTCCACTTGTCAATCGCCTCGCGCCGCGCGTCAGGCGCCAGCTGATTGCGCATGCCGCCCAGCACGTTGCTGGTCGCCTCGGAGACCAGCAGGATGGGCTTGACGACAGTGGGCGGGATCTGGCGCAGAACGCCACCCACGGCGCCCGACAACGCCCTCTGGTCGTGCTCCTCGGCCGCCACGCGCGCCAGCGTCTGCGCCGTCTCGCCCAGGCCCTGCCGGCCGGCCGGGTACCGGTCACACGCGCGCGGCGAGGAAAGCTCAGACGAGTGACGACGCGAACACAGTGGTCACCGGTGTTCCAGACCGCGGCAGCAGCCGTAGTCCGGCAGGAGCACACCGCTTACTAATGAAGTCATGGGACAACAACCAAACGACGCGGACCCCTAGGCTGAGTTTTCATCTACGGAAACCAAACGTCGTTGACATTTCAAAAAGGACATCACCATGCGCATCGCACCAACACACACAAACCGCGCACACGCAAGCACGCTCACACACAAACACGCACACACACATACACATATAGCCACCCCGGCCCCGCAGTGGTCAGTGTCCTCCCCGTTTGAGCGGCTCTCGCTGAGGGCGGGGGGCGGGGGCTCACCTCCTTGACCAGCTCGTAAGCGTTGGTAACACCCTCACGCAGGTCCTGCGGCAGGTTCGAGGTGCGCCGCCGGCTCCGCTTCTGTTTGCGCTTCTGTCGCACCGACGGGCCGGGCGACATCATGTCGTACGCGAACTCGGAGGCGCCCTGCCGGCCGCCGCACGTGTCAGCGCAGCCCCAGAGGAAGGCGCCGGGCAGGGGTCAGAGTCACAGCTGGAGCCGTCACTCCGCCACGCGCCCAACCTACGGTGCCGTCACTAAGGCGGCCCTCCTCACCGTCCGTGCACACGCGTACACCAACGGCTGACATTCGCTCATGTGCAACGCAAACCAGGTGGCTTCGGTCCCCGCGTGGGGCCCGGGTTCGAACTCCAGTTGAACTATGGCCCGAGAGCTAAAATGATCTCCGCAGTCCCTGGCGCGTCATGAACGGTTGCACGACGAAGCGTGGCGCGTTGTTCTCTTAAATACGGATCCGGCTGCCGGCCAGCCACCCAGTATAACGCTGGCCCGCCGCCGTCGTCGCCGCCGACCGACCTGGATGTAGCCGACCAGCCGGTTGGTGAGCTCCAGGAAGGCCATGGCGGTGGAGGTGGAGAAGCTGTTGGCGCCACGCTGCAGGCCCTTGACGATCCTGCCGTCCTTCTGGTACTGCTCGATCGGAAGCCAGAGCAGGTCGCGGATGCCCTGGACTGGGGGCGAGGCGGCGGGAGGAGAGCGTCAGCCACGGCCGCCGCGCGCCATCCGCCACGCCGCCCCCGGCCGGCCGAGCAGCGAGGCTCGAGTGGCAAAGACACGACACGCATGCCACGTACACCACCGACGACCCGAAGACAGGTGACGAACGAGCTCAAGGGGCAGTGACAGGCGACGAGCGCCCTTGAGAAACAATGCCAGGACGACACGGACGGCGACGGGAAAGCGACCGCAAACCGCTAACGTTTCGCGGCGGTCCCGTGACCGTCGCGACAGGTACGAGTGCACGCATGACCCGGAGCGCGGCGGTACGAGCCGCGCCACGTGGCCGCCGTGGCAGTGCGCTGATGGGCAGTACAGCCTGCGCCAGCGGCAACGGTGACAGAACGAACCCTGCCTCGCACCCGCCAGGCCATGGCTTGGGCAAATCAGGGATATCAACAACACCAAGGACGTAGCCTAGGGGAGAAAGACATAAAGGCAATACCAATACCCCCCCCCCCCCTCCCCTGAGTCAAAAGGTTGAAATTAGAAACTGTGTGATTTCGCAGGAATTCGAACTAAAATCGCAGGCATTTTTAGAAAACTCGATATCTACTATACCTCTGTAGAAAATTCTGGCTACGAGCCGGAATAGCACTGAAAACGACTAGGTGCCTGGCGGGCTGGCAGCCGGCAGCGCCTGGCGACTGGGCACAGCCCGGCTGGCGGGCTGGCAGCCGGCGGCGCCTGGCGGCTGGGCACAGCTCGGCTGACGGCCTGGCAGCCGGCGGCGCCTGGCGGCTGGCGGGCTGGCAGCCGGCGGCGTCCCCACAGCCACTCACACAGCTGGACGAACGAGTGGAGCGGTCCGATGCCGCCCAGCAGGCTCGGCAGCTGGTTGCTACGGATGTCGGTGAGCCACTCGTTCAGCGCGAAGTGCACCAGCCGATCTAGGCCGAGCAAACTGCGGAGACGGGGTACGGTCAGCACTGCCCCGGCTCGGCTGCGCACGCAGAACAGTAACTCGGCATCTGGAGATGACATCGAGGACGGCTGCCACGAAAGATGGTTCAGTACTGTGTGGGAGCAGTATTACCCACGGCAGGCAAGCGAGGGCTCCCTGGTCACGAATCGGCAATGCGGATCGGTGGCACGCGCAAAATCTGTCCCGGCTATATTCTGGGCCAAAGCCTGGGTCACGCAGTCACAGGCTCTGACTGTACTGAATCAGGGCTGTACTGAAAATTCCAGTCCCGGACAGGCTCTCATGGAGCAGTTACCAGCTTCCACAGTCAGTGATTCGATAGCAAAGATGGCGGCGTGTAAGCAGGGAAGACAAAGTTCACCCGTCAATCGAAGCAGGACGGCCGTCCCCTTTGATCAGATCATGGCCTCCTCTTGAGAACACATCAGCAAACGCGCGCAAGCTATCATCGCCGAGAACACTGGAGCGTCACCACGCAGCGTTCTCTGTCCGGTCACGGCTGCCCCGCCCCGCCCAGGCCGGCCGCGCGCCGGCCGTCTCACCCGCTCTTGTGGCTGATGCGCTTCAGCCGAATCTCGGAGCAGTTGAGCTGGCCCAGGCCGATGAGCAGGCCGATCAGCGGCCCAAACTGGCCGATGTCCACCCGCTTGCCCTGGTAGTCGATGCGGATCAGCACCTCCGGCGAGAACGTGAACGTCCTGTCGGCAGGCGCGGCGCGCGCGTCACGGCCGGCGCGTGCCGGGGGTACGCCGCACCGGCGGCGCGCACGCCGCTGGGGCGAGCTCACGCGGAGACGGGAGGGCTGCAGGGTAGCGGCCGCCACGGACGCCGTTACTGGGGCGAGCTCACGCGGGGACGGGAGGGCTGCGGTGTAGCGGCCGCCACGGACGCCGCTGGGGCGAGCTCACGCGGAGACGGGAGGGCTGCGGTGTAGCGGCCGCCACGGACGCCGCTGGGGCGAGCTCACGCGGAGACGGGAGCGCTGCGGTGTAGCGGCCGCCGCGGACGCCGCTGGGGCGAGCTCACGCGGGGACGGGAGGGCTGCGGTGTAGTGGCCGCCGCGGACGCCGCTGGGGCGAGCTCACGCGGAGACGGGAGGGCTGCGGTGTAGCGGCCGCCACGAACGCCGCTGGGGCGAGCTCACGCGGAGACGGGAGGGCTGCGGTGTAGCGGCCGCCACGAACGCCGCTGGGGCGAACTCACGCGGAGACGGGAGGGCTCCGGGGTAGCGGGCGTCACGGACGCCGCTGGGGCGAGCTCACGCGGGGAAGGGAGCGCTGCGGTGTAGCGGCCGCCACGAACGCCGCTGGGGCGAGCTCACGCGGAGACGGGAGGGCTGCGGTGTAGCGGCCGCCACGAACGCCGCTGGGGCGAGCTCACGGAGACGGGAGGGCTGCGGGGTAGCGGGCGTCACGGACGCCGCTGGGGCGAGCTTACGCGGGGAAGGGAGCGCTGCGGTGTAGCGGCCGTCACGGACGCCGCTGGGGCGAGCTCACGCGGAGACAGGAGGGCTGCGGTGTAGCGGGCGCCACGGACACCGTTGCTGGTGACGCATGAGGGATTGTGCACAGCTCCGTGGAAGTGCCGCCCTGCAGCCGGCCAGGGAGCCGCGCTTGACTCTGACTCGGACACTGCTGCATAACGACCGTGTGCTTTCATTCTTTGGTCTTTCAGGGAATTTAGTTATTATTTGTAGTGGATTTTGTACTGGCGCCAGGTGGTAGTCTACAAAAGACTTTCGCAGCGTTACACAACTCTTAAACGCCCTAGCTTCACGATTCGGATGACGTTCGTTGAGGTGTTATTGAGCATCTCGATGTTGTTGCGCAAACAAGGAATTTCACGTGACCAAGAATGACGACACCGGAGGCCAACGACCTGACAGCCAGCAGCTGATGCCGTCAGTCCGTGATTAGTTGGATGCAACATTTTACGCAGCATGACGTGAGGGATCGAAACCTTTTCTTTGACAGAATTGACGCTTTCAGCACTTCAAGTCAATATCATGACCGCGTCCAGCGCACGCAATCTAATCATGCTCTTTCCGATAAGCACATCAAATGAAAGTCTATCTTATAGCGCTGTTCACGGTCTGATCCGAGGCGGTCAACATCAGACGGTACGTGGTCTCACTGCGGCGTCACCCATCGTATCAGCCCATCACAGTGGTGCACGAACGGCCCGAGAGCTGCAGACCGCGCCGCGATCCTTCCCCGTACCCCAGGACACCGGACGGGCGCCCATGATTGTAGGCTGTTGAGGCGTCCCGGAACCCTGTGACGAGCGCCGCGGAAACAGGCCGAGCCCATCCGACTCGTCACGATGTCCCGTCGACCGGCCGGGAGGCTGCCGCTCTGGTGACGTCACACAGGCACGCCCCGTTGCCATGGTGACGGCGTCGCACTGCCGCGGCCCGACCGCCGGCCGCCGCGCGGCCGCTCCACCTGCCTGAAGAAGATGGGATGCTGCTCGGCCGGCCGCACCGCGCCGGCCGCCGGCTCGGCCTCCTCGTCCTCGTCCTCGTCCGGCTCGTCCTCGCCGGGACCGAGCGGCGCGTCCTGCTGCGTGATGGAGAGCACGGGCGCGTCCGAGTCGGGCGAGGCGGCCCGGCCGCTGCCGCCTGCGCCACAAGACACACACGGCTGTTACCAGGGTGAGGGGCGCCGCCGTGCGGTGTCCGCAGACACCACGCCATGGCACGCGCTTGCAGACGGTGGCATGATGCCGGCGGATCCTGCTTCTGTCGCCGACGATCACTGATCAGCACAAATGGAGGAGCATGGCGTCTTGGGGCAGAAGGAACATGTGACCCCGGTTCGTTGTGCGTGCTAACATTGAGCAGTCCTTCCGAAAACAAGCGCCTCGTTTTAAGTGATACTGATAGCCTTGCAATACAACCTTCAATTAGACATTTAGGCTCAAGAAATGCATGAGCCTTCACGACACTGCTGTCCTCTGAACATACCAAAGCCGCACACTATCCCCCAATGCTGCTAGCAAGGCATCAGGACGACAGAGCAAGCCAGGTGGGTGGCCGACCGCCACGAGTAGGCGGCGGCAGGCTGGCGGGCCGATGAGCGCTATCCCGCAGCAAGGGACCACGGGCCGGCTGACGGCCTCCGCGGGCGTCAGCTCACACCACGGCCCACCACCGCACACGCCTCACACCGCGGCACACAGCTGACGCGCGGAAATGCCCGCACAAACATACCAGAATCACAGAGGCGCACGGCAGCCCCACCCCCTCCCTCCCCACACTCTCCTCTCAGGTCACCTGACCCCGTGAGAGGCCAACGCAGCCCCCCGTCTGATCACGCGGCCCGGCCACGCACCCGGCTCGCCGGCCACGGCCCGGAAGAAGTCGCGCAGGAAGAACAGCGCGTCCTGGTCGACGTTGAGCCGGATCGGACAGAGCGAGAGGCGCACGTCGCACTCCTCGGTGGCCACGGCCGGGTCCGGCCGGCGGCACAGGGCCTTCAGCAGCACCTGGCGGAAGCGCCGGCGGTCAGACCCCACCCCGCGCTAGTCGGCCGGGCGCCGTCGGCGGTCAGACCCGACCCCGCGCTAGTCGGCCGGGCGCCGCCGGCGGTCAGACCCCACCCCGCGCTAGTCGGCCGGGCGCCGCCGGCGGTCAGACCCCACCCCGCGCTAGTCGGCCGGGCGCCGCCGGCGTCAGACCCGACCCCGCGCTAGTCGGCCGGGCGCCGCCGGCGGTCAGACCCCACCCCGCGCCAGTCGGCCGAGCGCCGCCGGCGGTCAGACCCCATCCCGCGCCAGTCGGCCGGGAGCCGCCGGCGGTCAGACCCCATTCCGCCTCAGTCGGCCGGGCGCCGCCGGCGGTCAGACCCCATCCCGCGCCAGTCGGCCGAGCGCCGCCGGCGGTCAGACCCCATCCCGCGCTAGTCGGCCGGGCGCCGCCGGCGGTCAGACCCCATCCCGCGCTAGTCGGCCGAGCGCCGCCGGCGGTCAGACCCCACCCCGCGCTAGTCGGCCGAGCGCCGCCGGCGGTCAGACCCCATCCCGCGCCAGTCGGCCGGGAGCCGCCGGCGGTCGGACCCCATCCCGCCCCAGTCGGCCGGGCGCCGCCGGCGGTCAGACCCCACCCCGCGCTAGTCGGCAGGGCGCCGCCGGCGGTCAGACCCCATCCCGCCCCAGTCGGCCGGGAGCCGCCGGCGATCAGACCTCATCCCGCGCTAGTCGGCCGGGCGCCGCCGGCGGTCAGACCCGACCCCGCGCCAGTCGGCCGGGCGCCGCCGGCGGTCAGAGCCGACCCCGCGCCAGTCGGCCGGGCGCCGCCGGCGGTCAGACCTCATCCCGCGTTAGTCGGCCGGGCGCCGCCGGCGGTCAGACCCCATCCCGCCCCAGTCGGTCGGGCGCCGCCAGCCGCAAGCGTGGCCACGCCCCCGCAGGTACAACCCAAACATCACAGGCCCCTTTCAGGACCTGGCAAACTGACTATATGAACGCAGCCCCGCAGCCAAGCAGCAAGCCAGGCAGCGCGCTCGCCTTAGAATACGCAGGCAACCGCCGATACCCAGGGCCTCGACACAGCGCAGACTGACGCCTTGACGGCTGCCGCGGCCGGAGCCGAGGACGGTAAGGTCGTTAAGTCCCAATGACATGACATGACGTGAGGGCGGTGGCGGGCGGCCTCACCATGTTGGAGTGAGCTTGGCGCGGGCAGCTCTCGGACGAATACTGGTACAGGAACTTGTTCATGTCGGACGAGGTGATGCGGTCCAGCACCTCCACGTCGTTGGCGACCAGCACGAGCCGGCGCGCCTCCTCCGTGTCCTCGGGGTACTCCTCCAGCTGACAGCGCGCCTGTCGGCCGGCGGCAGCGGCGCGTCACACCGGTACCGGCGGCCCCGCTCCGCGCGTCTTCTCGCCTCGCCGCGGTCACCCACGAGCGTCACAGCTCCATCCGCCCCCCCCTCCCTACCCCTCCCCTCCGCACAGCCCGTGTCTTTACGTCGCAAGACTCGATCCCGCCCAGAGGGCAGAGCGGCGCGCGTCCCCGGCCTGCTCGGTTCCCACTGCCTCCGACCGCAGGCGTCCTCCCCGCCGGCCCCCGCCGTGTCATCAACACAACGTGCCCCGCGCCGCCGCCGGAGCCCGGCCGGCGGCGCTACCTTGCTGAGCCGCAGCTGCATCATGGTGTCGGCGTGTCGGCCGGGGCCGCCTCGGCGCCGGGCGGCGGCCGCCGCGGTCAGCGCTGGCGCCTCGTCCTCGGGCGAGGCGAGCGTGCCGAACCGCACCTGCCGGGGAAACAGCTGCAACAGCCGAACACGCCGTCAGCCGCGCCGCGCGCGCCGCCAGCTGCCGCCGCCGCCGAGCCGGGCCGAGCCAGCCACGAGATCACAGACGTGCGCCAGGGGAACCGGGGACGGGGAAACGCATGCGCAACGGCAGACGGGCCGCGTGATCTTACACCGAAACCGTCCGAAACAAACGGGTCGCTGAAACTCTAACAGTGTCCGTTGAGACGGACCAGTGCACCTCAGCTCACATTCTACTATCGAGCACATGAAAGGCACCGTGCGGTTAAGAGAGGACGCATTCTTGGACGGGTGGCAAGACGTAACACGTGCATACCTACTGCAGACCATCCGTGTTAGACCCAAACCCAGTACGCAGTTCGGTTTTGTTCTACACATACCACGCGCCTTACAACGCCACCACAGAGCAAACAACGATTAAGAGACCACAGCTTATCACCCCCGACAACAGAGTGGAGATGACTTGGCGAATCGCACACCCCAGACTTATCCAAGGAAAAGGACGATTACCAGCGGACATTATACATTCAATTGGTGGATGCAAAAAGCAACGTTTTCTCGTCATTCCCATGACTGTCAGTACAGCAAGACCGCCTCATCCGATGGTGAAGACCGTCATCAGGACAAGCTGCCCGTCCCCTCCCCCAGGGAGCAGCGAGCCGCCGCCGCCGCCAGCTGCGAACCGCACCTGCTGTGCGCCGTGTTTGCTGAAGGCCGCCTGAAGCGGCGAGCCGGGAGCCGCCTGGCCCAGCCGGGCCCGCGGGCTGCCCGGTGGTGTGGCGGCCGGCGACTCGATCCGTACCTGCCGGCGCGGCAGCGCTAGCGTCAGCCGGCGCTGCCCACACACGGCCGCCGGCTTGGCGCACGCACCGCCGCCCACAAACGGCGACGGCGGTGACTGTAACACACTGCTCGCCACCGCGCGCGTGTGCGGGTGTGTGTGACTGGGCCACTCAGTGGTGTCAGGGCCACCCGGCAGGTGTCGTGCTGGAGCCGAAGCGCGTACACCACGTGAGGATGGAACACCACGCCGCCTGTTGCTCCGGTCATTGTAAGTTCAGCGGTTGACATCCATCCCCGCGATCATTGTATGGCTCATCCCAGCTCCTGCGCTCCTCCAGACAACGTAACAGCGTGAGGCGGCTGCTCCCCGCGCAGATGGCCTGGCTCAGACTCTCCTCCAGACAATGTAACAGCGTGAGGCGGCTGCTCCCCGCGCGGATGGCCCGGCTCAGACGCTCCTCCAGACAATGTAACAGCGTGAGGCGGCTGCTCCCCGCGCGGATGGCCCGGCTCAGACGCTCCTCCAGACAATGTAACAGCGTGAGGCGGCTGCTCCCCGCGCGGATGACCCGGCGATGAGCGGCCCGCATCGCTGGCCCGGCTCAGACGCTCCCTCGGCCGCCGGCTCGCCACCGACACTCCCCATAATGACGCCGAAAACGACAACGGTCGGGGTCATACGACGCGTCGAACATCGCAAGTCACGGGGGCGCGGCGTCGCCTCACCTTGCGCGTCGGCGGGGGCGCGCCGCTGCTGGCCAGGTCGTGGCCGCCGTACAGGCTCCAGAACACGGACATCTGCTGCAGTGTGTAGCGCCGCCGCGGCACCGGAAAGTGCGTCGGCGGCCGCAGCACGTCCGCCCGGCTCACCGGCGCCGGCAGGAAGTCATCGATCACGCGGATCGGCTCAGATGTGAGCACGCGCACCTGCGGCTCACCGGAGCGCGACTGCCGGAACGAGGGAAGGGGGGGGGGGGGGGGGGGGGGGGTCAGACCGACGGACCAGCCGAGGCACACCAGACGACTGGGAGCGGGGAGACGGAGCACACATACCCGTACTATACTACATACTACAGGCTGCTACACACAGCCAGTCTGGTGCGTAGCTCTGAGATCTACTGACCAGAAGCCCGCCACCAGTGACGCAACAGCGGATATCCGCGGCACACCAGAGCAGGACGTCAAGAGCCAGCTGGCTTCACAACCGTTCACACCGCGAGACTCCTCCAGGCGCGCGCAGGATCACGGAGAGCACCGCCGTTCTCAGGGGCAAGGCCGCGATGGCCACCGTCCCCCGCAACACGGCCACTGACCCGTATGCCAGAACCCGGGTCGTCGTCGAGCACGAAGAAGCCCTCGTCGGCATCGTCGAACTCGTCGTCGATGTCGGCCAGCGCCTCGGCCATGGTCGCCATCACCTGACGGAGCGGGCCGGCCCACTGACAAACGCCGCTCCCCCGCCGGCGCACGGCGCTACAACGGGAGGCGCTACAACGGGAGGCGCGCCTCGGCCATGGTCGCCATCACCTGACGGAGCGGGCCGGTCCACCGACAAACGCCGCTCCCCCCGCCGGCGCACGGCGCTACAACGGGAGCCGCGCCTCGGCCAGATCTGTGGCCGGCTCACGGAATGCACTCCTTTGGGACGATGCTTCAATTCAACGTCCAAACGTTCAACGTTCAAACCACTGCTTCGACATTCAATGATAAGCGGTATCTGAGTGTGCCGGCGTCGAAAATCCCGCCGCGTCATGTCGTGCGTCTCGGAAGTGAGCCACGCCTACTTGGCGGGAGAGATCCGAGCAGCGCATGTCGCGCTTAATGCCACACAGCACAGCTGACCGTTTCGCTGGCGTCCGGCGCGTGCCGAGAGTTACCGTGTTGGACGGCACAGCCTCCGTGGCCAGCTGCGGAGGAGGTGGGGGCGCCGCCACATGTGGCTCATTCGGGAAGAAGAACACCTCCACTGGACCCTGGTTCACCTGTGCAGGAGCTAGAAGCAAATAACACCGGTGTAAGTGATCCGGAATCGCAAAACACTATGCGCTTTAAACCCCACCTTGGTTAAGTCGCGCCAACTTAATTCACTATGCTGAAGACCAGATAGGCTGGAGCTACCACATTCGAACGCGTGTCTGATGATTGTCCAAGCCATCCCAATGCCCAAGTCAAAACAGCACACCCAATACACGCTACAAGCTGGAACAAGCCCGCAAATCCTCCACGCCCGCCTTGAGGCCGCCCAGAGATTCACGGCGGTGGTATCCGAGCGGTCTGGATGCTCCGCCGCCGCCGGTACCTCACACAACAGCGCCTGGCCGCGGCCGCCGCTGGGCCGCCGCAGCCCGGCGTCCACTGACCCGGCCTCGGCGGGCTGGCCTCCTGCATGGCGTCCTCCATGAGGTCGACCAGGCCGGCCTGGTCGGCGCCCGCCTGCCGGACACCGGCGCGCGCAGGCGGCGGCGGCGTAGTCGGTGCAGGCGCCGGCTCGCCCCGGTCGCCGTCCCCGGCCAGGTACGTCACCAGCTCCACCAGAGCGCGCAGGGAGTCAGCGCACGTGCGCACGTGGATGGTGTTGTTGCTGACGCGCCAGTCGAGGTGCGGCTGGCCGGCGGCCGGCGCCACACTGGTGCGGATGGACAGCTCCAGCAGACCCGCCTCCAACACACACACGTAGTCGCGCGCGCCCACCAGCGGCGCGCCGCTTCGGTCGGCCACGTGCAGCGCCGCTTCCTCCAGGATGAAGCGTAGCACCGAGGTGCTGGTAGCCGCCGCCAGGTGCGACGACAGGATAAAGCTGTCCACAGTCACCAGGTACTGGTACGGCAGATTGAGCGGCCTGCAACAGCCCACAAGTCACACGTTGCTCATCACGAACGCACGCAACGCAGTCCCCGCGGCGGGCCGACGCGCTGTATGACAGCGAAACAATTATCTGCTTCTTATATTATGTTGTGTATTGTTCGTCAGCAAAAACATCGCAAAACACATGTATCTTATCACAGTATGGCTTGCCGATCGCAAATGCCGCGTGCGTGCTGCCCGGCGGCCGAGCGCTCAGCCACCATGCCTCGTCATAGTTAGGTAACGCGTGAGGCCGCGTCTTTGTCATCGTGAGCACCCGATGTCACCCAGACCTTACACACTGGCCTGGTGAACGGCTGCTGCCCAGCATCCAGCCGCAGCCCAGTCAGGGGTCAGGGGTCGCGTCTCAGCCGCCGTCGCCACACTGGCCCGTGATCGACCGCGCATACAGCCCTGGCCTGGCCTGGCCTGGCCTGGCCAGCGGCGGCCGCCTCAGCCGGGCGCCGACTCACCTATAGTCGAGCGCCGACCTGGTGACCAGCAGGTGCAGCTGGGTGACGGTGGCCGGCATGTCGTAGCCCGCCACCGGGAAGTCCACCACGTCGAACATGTCCAGCAGCTGGGTCACGAACCGCTCCAGCGACGGCAGCATGCGCGGCCTCAGCGCGCAGCCGTCCACGCCCACCGCCACCGTGAACGTCTGACGGGCACGCGGGGCAGTCACACACTGTCCCCGTCCCTCAACACACCCGCCCTGGCTCGCCAGACACCGTCCTCCCCCTCTCCCTCCTCAGCCGCACAGGCCCGTCAGACACCGTCCTCCCCCTCCCCCTCCTCAGCCGCACTGGCTCGCCAGACACCGTCCTCCCCCTCCCCCTCCTCAGCCGCACTGGCCCGTCAGACACCGTCCTCCCCCTCTCCCTCCTCAACCGCACTGGCCGGTCAGACACCGTCCTCCCCCTCTCCCTCCTCAGCCGCACTGGCCGGTCAGACACCGTCCTCCCCCTCCCCCTCCCCCTCCTCAGCCGCAATGGCCCGTCAGACACCGTCCTCCCCCTCCCCCTCCTCAGCCGCACTGGCCCGTCAGACACCGTCCGTCCACTGGAGGGTTATACACACCGGCACCAGGCTTTCAACGCCATTAGACAGATCTCGTAAACTGCGGTCTTCTCCGCCGGAGCTTTATAATACAGGCCTTGGCAATGATGGATCAAAAACCCCCAAGTCCTGTGCGCGTTAAGCGAGCGAGCGGACAGGCGGCGGCGCGCGTGACGGGCCGCATCACTGTGGGCGTTACGCGAGCGAGTGGACAGGCGGCGGCGCGCGTGACGGGCCGCGTCACTGTGGGCGCTACGCGAGCGAGACGACAGGCGGCGGCACGCGTGACGGGCCGCGTCACTGTGGGGGTTACGCGGGCGAGCCGACAGGCGCGGCAGGCTCCACGTGTCGCCTGCGCTCTCGATCTCCAGCCGCTACAGCAGGCCTGCGCGGGCCGGCCGCTGCCGCGCCGACGCCCCACCTTGATGTTGTTGAGCTCGTCCAGCTGGTACTTGACGGCGACGGAGAGCATGTCGTCGGCGTTCGGCTGTCCGGCCGGCTCGGCCTCGTACGGCCCCACCAGCCGGTCCAGGCATGGCGGGATGGCGTCTAGACTCGGCAGCAGCGGCGTAAACCGCGTCGGCATCTGCCCTGCAGACGGCCGGGCGCGGTGAGACGCCGGCCGCGCCGACGGAGGGGGCAGTGAGAGGGGGCGGGGGGAGGGTGGCACAAACGGCTCAGGCCACTGACGGAATCGATGGCAAGTGCTGAAATAAGCCGCTTTGCATGCTGATCGGCACTGCATAGCTTTAAGCCTGCTGGGCACGACACGGCAATACACGGGTAGCTAGCGACCCACGACGTTCCATCACGGCTGCAAGGACCGGGTCGGTTTGCCCGACTGCAACTCATATATGCTGGGATGGCCTGCCCAGCCCACAGTGAGGCGCCTGATAACGCGATATGATAATCTGCTTTTTGTCGATCACATCGATGAGACAATTGTCCAGGTCAACTACATGCTGGTCAATGCATAAACTCAGGGTGGGTGGCACAAGCCCAAAAAACATATCGTTATCATCGTGACGATTTGAAGCAGTCCGCGAGGGACGAGTCCTTGCGGTAAGCTCCATAGTCCTTGCGTGAGGTGTTGCGGCTAGTCTGGGGATTCTCCCCCGCCACTGCGCGCGGCGAGTCTGCTGCCGGCCCGTCTGTCCGTCGCTTGCCTTTGTGGTACAGGCTGGCACGATGAGCGGAGAGGCAGACGAAGCCGTGGCCGTACATGCCGCCGTAGCCGGAGACGACGAACAGCGAGCCAGAGTCCACTGCCAGCTGGACCTCGCCGTGGTGGTCGGGCACCGGCGCGCCCTCCTCGGCCTGGGGGATAGGTTGGGTGATGCCACGTCAGGTCAGGTCAGATAAGGTCAGGTCAAGTCAGGTCAGATTCAGATCAGGTCAGATCGCGTCAGCTGGGCCTCGCCGCAGCGGCCTAGCGGAGGCGCGGGAGCCCATGGTGCGCAGGGGCCGGTTGCCCGTACGGAGACAGACCAAGTTAAATCGGGTCAGTTCAGGTCGCGACCCGACGACAGGCGATGCCCTGTCGAAGGTCCGGGATGCGTTCGGCAGCCACGGAAATCAACCTCAGCCGTAGCTGGTGCCCCAGGTCGGCATCCTCATCCAAACAAATAATGAGGTCAATGAGATCTGACAATTGGTCGACATGACACCAAAACACCCAGCATAACACGGAGCACGGACCAGACAACGTCCACCACGACGACCCAAGCCACCTTCGCCTTTCATCATTCGCCAACAGCCATCGCGGATAGGACGCACCAGTTCCTGTCGCCGCCGCTCTCCCCTCCACGCCCGCCACAGTCGAGTCGCAGCCGGCGCCGGCCGACAGTCGCCGCCTGGCCTCCACTCACCACACAGGGCGTCTGCAGGGCGACCACGCCCTGACCCAGCTGGAGCCGCACGCAGCAGCGGCTCTGGCGGCTGCGCGCCAGCTCGTCCTCGTTACGCTGCCGGCGCCGCTGCCGCTGCCGCTGCTCGTACACAGACTGGTACAGCGTGTCGCTGGCGTCGCTGTCGGAGTCCGAGTCTGCCGGCCGCAGGGGAGCGGGACGTGACGTCAGTCACGCCGACGGGCCGGGCGTGGGACGCGCGCGGCGGCAACCGGCCGGCATCAGCGACGGGCGGACACGAACAACGGGGTGCAAAGGTGCGATATCAAAAAACCGCCAGCCTCCGCGTTCTTCTGAAACCCCATCCACCTCGGGTGCCTTGGTGCCCGTGAGCCCGGCGGCCTTCTCCGCGGGGAGCGACATAGGGCAGCACCACGTCCCATCCGCTGCCGACCCTGCGCACGCCGACCACGCGCGCGCCGTCGCCGGCCGACCCCCGCGCGTCCGCCGGCGCGCGCCACGCACCGTACTGCGTGCCGGACTTGCACATCTGGAACGGGTCGGCGAGCAACGCCAGCGGGTCGGGCGGGTGCGCCGCCTCCGGGCTGGCGCAGCTGCCGGGCGCCGCCGGCTCCCAGAGCGCCAGGTCTGTGGCCAGTCTGGGGACGGCGCGGGGTCACGCGGGTCAGCTCGCCAGATCACGGGCCGCCCCGGCGCCGGCACCGCCGCGCGACCCGCCCCGTCGGTTGGCCGACGGGGGCGCGCCAGACGCGACAGGGCGCCATCGATCACAAGGACATGACACTCGAGCTCTGTCTCGTGACTGACAACTTCAGAAACATTACAGCGCCGAAAGAAAAAGCTACGAGCAACTACCTCCCGAGACAGGCGCATATCGAAGACCTGAATTATTAGCAACATCTCTCAGCTCGCCGACACGCTCTGTAAAAAAGACGTCTAAATTACTTCAAACATCAAAGGTATGTAGTGGCCGCTCGAGTATGATACTTTGAGTTATACGTAGCCAACACCATGCCGGCCGCTGAGCCTGAGACTCACGTCACGACAGCGCAGCGGATACCTGTTGTAGATGAGCTCGTAGAAGCGCTTGCTGGGCAGGATGGCCTCCAGCAACGGCAGGCTGAGCTCCAGCAGCATCTGGCAGTTGGCGACCGTGCTGTCGATGAACCTCTCCACCTCTTCCCGACCGGCTGGGATGACCAACTCCTCACCCTCTGCAAGGTAAGGTTAAATGTCTGTCAGGCATCGTCAGCTACTTATTCTTCGCAAATTCAGGTCATGCGTCTGTCAGCAGTACGGAATCACCAGCTCCTCAACCTCTGGAGCGGCAGTGACTGACAGGAGAGCCGGAACCAAGCGCCTGACGCATGTATACGGGCTTGGCATGATCAGAATGTCACCGACGACACGTCCACCCGAACGAAAAAACGCCAAAATCGAGCAGCCTCAACACCCGCCTGACCCAACACCCCGCCGAGGCCTCACCCATCCGACCCAACACAACCCAACCGCCTGTCGTCTGACCCGCCACCCAGTGCCCTTCCCCCGGCGTCACCAGCCCACTGACCAGAGGCGAGGTCGGGCTGGCCGCGCGCGTGCGCGTCCGTCTCGTACACCACGCGGCGGCGGCCGAACGGGCTCGGTTCGCGGTCAGCGCCGGCCGCGCTCAGACCGGCGAACGGCGACGACGAGGACGAGTCGGCGGCCGGCGACGCCGAGCGCTCGTCGGCCGGCTCGGCCTCCAGCAGCGGCGCGCGCCGCACCGGCCACAGCGTCAGCACGGCGCGCGGCCAGTCCAGGCCGACGGCGCCGCCCGGCGGCAGCGAATCGCCGCCCGACGGCGACACCTGGCGACGGCGGGCGCGTCCGCTCAGCAGCGGCATCACACCGGCCAACGAGGGCACACGACCGAGAACACGCTCGAGAACACGCTCGAGACGCGTTCGAGAACGTGTTCCAGAACGCACTCGATATTGGTGAGACCAGTCTGATGGTGAGGATCGCGGTTCAATCACGGCTGCGAATGAGGCGACCTCCATCCCACTTCGGTTGCACGGGACAGAAAAATGCAGTGTCTAGGAGGCCTAGCCTACAACTGCGAAACGGGGCAGCCGCGCTCACAGAAACGCCCCGCCGCCTCCTGCGCTAACTAACACGGCGCCTGCGCCACGGGCCGGACGCCGCCGGTCCCTGCGCCAAGGCGCGCCGCCCGGCCGCGGCCGTCACTCACGCCGAGGAACACGACCGGTGGCGCGGCGTCCGTCTCGGCGTAGGCCACGCTGACGGTGCGCGCCTGCAGCTCCAGTCGCGTGGCGTCGTCCCGCGCGCGCAGCGCCGTCCGCAGCGTGGCGTCGCGCATGCGCAGCAGCAGCCAATCGGGCCGCACGTGGCGGCACCACCAGGGCGGCCGCTTCATGTCGCTGAGCGGCCGCAGGTCCGGGATGGGGAACCTGCGGCCAGCGCCAGCGGCATCAGGCGCCGGTGCGGCGGGGGCGGGGGGGGGGGGGGCTGTGCCTCGGGCGGCGCCCAGGTCTGGTAACGACGGTGTTGGTGTTACAAGAGCTGACATCAGAGGTCCACAGTCTCACCACTTACGACCCCACTCATAGCGTAGCGTCTCTATCAGGGCTATCTGGGTGCGGTCAGGGCCGATACAGGACAAACTTAACATTGCGAGACATACGTACATTGTGCGTAATGACGAAAACGGATACATACAGATGGCACTAACCTTTTCCCGCTAGGTTGACGCCAGAACTTTGCGGACGAGATGCAAAGCAACGTGAAATGTGAACAAAAAAGGAAGCCACTACACAAACTCGGGTATGCTTCCGGTTTCTAACACACCCAAAGTTAAAAGAATGTCTTCTGAATGTCCCCATTCTTGCAACTGCATCACCGACTGAAACTCCCACAGCAACAGGAGACCCCGCACAAGTGGCTGCTGCAGCGACCGTGAGGCGGGCCGGTCGGGGGACGCCTACCTCAGCTTGACGGCGATCGCCGGCGCCGTCACCTGTACGTCCACCTTGGCCTCGGCGCTGCCGGCCGTGTCGTCCATGGCGTCGTTGAAGCACTGTTGCTTCGTCTGCCGGCGGGAGAGAGCGTGACCCGGACAGTCGTCGTACGTCACAGGTGTCGTCCGAGACCGCATGCGACACCACCCTCCGCAACCGGAGGAGCACACAAGTACTGACGACGATAGCAGCCGGCGATGACGAAGATATCACAACTGTAGAGTATGGGAACGTCAAAACAGAGCGCATCAAAATGCGACTCTATATGACGAACACTAAACTGATAACGAAGGAATCTGGCGGTTGGCATGGCAGCCCAGTCCCAATACAAAAAGCGTGACCCTCGTCCACGGCAACGCAAGGTTCTCAGGCCCGGCTCTGTGCTCACTTTACGCCCATTCAAAGCCCAGGTATCATGGTCCGCACCAGAAAGCCTGCCGGTCGAAAAAAAGAAAAATCCACAGATGAGCGGGGTCCGTACATTTATCGCGTGGGCGTGTTCGCCCCCGATGAGTGACGTGCCACGGCGGACGGACGGGTCGCACTCACCACGTGGGCGTGTTCGCCACCGGTGAGTGACGCCACGGCGGACGGACGGGTCGCACTCACCACGTGGGCGTGTTCGCCACCGGTGAGTGACGTGCCACGGCGGACGGACGGGTCGCACTCACCACGTGGGCGTGTTCGCCACCGGTGAGTGACGTGCCACGGCGGACGGACGGATCGCACTCACCACGTGGGCGTGTTCGCCACCGGTGGGTGACGTGCCGCGGCGGACGGGGCCGGCGGCGGGGCTGAGCAGGGCCGAGAGCCGGTCGGCCAGAGAGACGTCCACTTCGGAGGCGCAGGCCGCCAGCCGCAGCCTGCCGACGGCCGGCCGGCATCAGCCGAGCCGCCGCCTTCCACAGGCGGGGGAGCTCACCGGGACGGCAACGCTCTTGGGCCGGTGGGAATTTGTTGACGGGATGCTGCGCCCAGTTCAGACACTGCGTCCTATCTAGCCTACGGTGTCCGTACATTAAGTATTGGCGTGTAAAAAGTCCAACAGGAAAACTGAATCCGAGCATTCAAAGCATCTCATGGAACGGCCAGTATTTTGGAAAAGAATAGAAGACGCGGCATTACCTAACAGCAGAGCCAATACCATCAGCAGCAGGTAACACGAAAGAGATCGGTTCCCGTAACCCGTTAACCTGTGAGACAACGTTCGAAACGAATGTGGCGCTGCTCCGCTGGTCCCACTGGCAGGGCCGGACCCGAACACCCCGCACGTGCTACACGGCCGTCTCCACGGCACTCGTGCCGGGAGGACCCGAGCAGCGGACTCGGCCGCCGGCTGACCTGACGCTGACGGCCGGACTGGCAGTGTGCCGGTTCACCAGCGCCTGGCTGTGGCGCACGGTCAGCGCCAGCGCGCCCTCCGACGCGGCGTCCGGCCGGCCCGGCGGCGGCTCGCCCGTCTCGAACGTCAGCAGCTGGCGGACGGACGCGCCGCCGGTCACGCGGGCCATCGGTCCCACAGGCAGGTCACCATCGGCGGTGCCACATCCCCCACACGGCGCACACCCGCCGTCCCGACGTACCGGCGGTCAGCGGCGCGCGCCTAGCATGCGGCCGGCGCGCTGACTCAGCATGTCCAATGAACAGACCAGCCTGTGACAATCACAATGCGATGCCAGCCGAGGACACAGCCGCTGACGGCAGTGTACCAGCACCGCTCGCCAGGCACGTGCCGACCATCCGGTGATCACCTCTGTATACGTGGCGGCGGGCGCGCTGGCGGAGTCCCGCTCGACCAGACACTCAAGCAGCTCCGCCATGCCCGACGTCAGCGTCATCGAGAACACGCTCTTGCTGCCACCTGACGGCCGCTCACTGCACTCAAACTTCAGCGGGGCCGCTACCAGGCTGTAACGTGACGCTCGTATTACGTGCGTAGTTTATGTCGGTGCAGTCAGATAAAGTCACATATAGCAGCACTAAGATTTAGATCACCTTCAGCTTGTTTTCAAAGTGTGAAAGAAATATCGGTACATGCCCCGGCGTTCACGCCCCTGAAACCTCACATCATCCAGCACACATGGCCGGATGGAGGCCAGGTGGTTCGCCACCAGCCGTACGTTCAGCCCCCCCCCCCCCCCCCCCCCCCAAAGACAGGGCGGCGCCGGCGCGCGCGTCTCGCGACAGCTGACCTGAGATGGCTGCAGGGGCACGCCTCGAGCAGGTCCGGGCGCGTGCCACGTACGCCGCCGCCGCCGACGCAGACGGACGAGAGGCGGGCCAGCCCGGCCTCGGCCAGCCGCTGCATCTGAGGAGGTCAGGGTAAGGCGGGTCAGGCCCGCAGACCGGCGGCGGCGCAGGGACGGGCGCAGACGCTCCTACCGAGGGCGGAGGCGCGCCCATACACGCAATCAACGCGGCTTATCACACCGGGCAAGCAGAGATCGTGTGACATATCACACTTCCCTGCTGGCAAGGGAAGCCACTTATACCACTAAAGGCAATGCAGCGCGCGCGATCCATGCCTGCTGCCGGAGACGTGACAGGGCAGCACCTGTGACCTGGACCACGCGGCGTCCGGCGATCGGCGCCGCTCACCTGTTTGATGCTGGCAGGGGTGAGCAGCTGCGTGTCCGGCGCCGTCGTCAGTACGTCCTCATGCATCAGCACCACGCAGACGGTGCTGAGCTGCAGACTCAGCCGGATCGAGTCCTCGCTCTGCTCCTCATCTGCCCCGGCACAAGAGGCACGCGCCGGTCATGGTCGCGTCACCGCCGCCCCGCCACTGCGCACAACGTCCGATCCGACAGAACACCACACGCGGCGAGCCGGCGGCAGCACGGGTCAGGCTCCCGTCCCTGCGGCAACGGGAGCGCTTTGGCGGCGCTGCGGGCGACCGGGCGACGCGCGAAGCCGGCCGGCGGCGCGCGCCTGGGACTCACCCTTGCCTCGGTCCCGCCGGCGTCTGGGCCGCGGTCTCGTGTAGGACATCTCAGACCTGTACAGGAGGATGGGTCAGCCCTGCCACAACGGCCAGGTGGCGCCGCAGCGCCCAGTGAGAATCACGGGTAGACTGAGGGTGTCGGTGTTGGAGACACGCTTCAGCTCTCAACGCGCGTCAAATGGAACCAACTGCCTGTTCAAAACGGTGGTGCATAACAATTGTCGAGCATATCTTAAGGATGGCAACATGCCAAAGCTTACCTCATTAAAACAATGCCGGAATTGGGCCCGCCAGTGACGAACTAAGCCGCGCAGCAAATGACCCCAGACTTAACAGTTCGCCCACAGACCGTCGGTGCACAATCGGGCAGGAATGCGCGTCATTTGATCACAATGACCTCCTCAATCGAGCGTTGTGCGCCCGGCTCACCTGTGGGTCGAGGTGGCCTCCGAGTAGACGCTGCCCGTCACAGACGAGGTCATGGAGCCGTCCATGTCGGCCGACGTGGCCAGCGAGACGGCGCTGGAGGTCAGCGCCGCGTCTGGCCGCAGCAGCGGCAGGAACTCCTCCTCGTCCTCGTCTGCCGAGGGGCGGGCGGCGCGTCAGCGGCCGTCTGCGGCGCTCTGCGCGGCGGTCGCTCCCAGCCGTCCGCCCTCGCTCGCAGCCGCCGGGCCGCGCCAGTCCTGACACAGCATCAGTCACCGCGGCGAGCCTCCCAAACAGCGGACACCCTTCCGACGAGGGCAGAGGCGCGCTCTTCCCCCGCGCCCCCCCCCCCCCCCCCCCGCCGGCTGGCCGACGGCGGCCACTGACCGTGTGCGTGCGAGGACCAGCCCTGCGCCCTCAGCGCCTGCGTGGTGAGGAGGTCGCGGGCGGCCAGGTTGCGGCGCACCAGTTGCTCCTCGATCACCTGGTAGTCGGAGGGCGTCATGGGCTTCTCGGCGTGTCGGCCGGCGCCGCACGGGCGCGGCGCGCTGCCGACAGAGGGCGGTTCAGCTGCCTGCTCGGCCAGGCTGACGCCGGTGCAGGATCAGCGGAGCACTTCGCCACCCCCGAGCAACGTCTCCAACCGCCTGACCCGGAGATTAGCTCAGCCCAACGTTCGTCACTTCCCCCCCCCCCCCCTGCTTTTGTCTGTTGCCCACACATCGGTGGTATTCGCGCAATGTATCCTTTGTTGGCGCTAACACAGCACTTTCCCTCAAAAAGAAGATTCAGATAATGTTTCTATGGTACCACCACTCTCCATATTGCCACCCGTCATGACAACACGACAGGTAACAACTGTTCAGTTGACAATAGTGCCCGCAATCTCTCATAGTCGAGGGGAGGGGGGGGGGGCGACTAATCAGTGAGTCACTACGAAAAGCTCATCGCTACGTAAACACCTTTCAGTTTGGCAAATCATTCGCTTTGAACAGACACGCGGCCGGCCGGCGCCACGCCCCGCGAGAGCGCACGCGCCTGGCCGGACGCGCTGCTGACCTCTTCTCCACCCGTTTGGGGTCGATGATGCCGCTCATGAGCTCCATCAGGTCGTGCAGCTGGCGCGGCCCCAGTAGCGTGCAGAACGAGCCCGACGTTATCTGCACATTCAGCTGCGAACACCACATCCACGGCGCTGGTCAAGCTGAAGGCCAGCGTCTCATGTGGCAGGGCGACTCACTGACCTGCACATCAACATGCCCCGAATCCTGAGCAGGCGTTCAGTTCCCGGATCACCGCGTATACCAACGCGGATCAGTACAGTATGTCATGACAAACATCCATGGTAGAAACCATCTCCTGACGCAGTCACAAAATTGACACGTTGTGGAGACAATGAGTCATTGATGCACGTTACTCGTAACAGTGCTCTCCAGTGGCCGGCCGCCCCCGTTAGGTACAACAGCTCATCCCATGCTCCTGCCTGGGCTGCTCCGCGGAGGGCGTGGGAACTGACCTTTGGCCCGGGGGCCGTGTCGTGCACCTTGACCTCACAGCGCAGCTCTGTGCGGCCGTTGAACTGGCCGAGCAGCACGGGCTCGCCGCCGGGTGGCGGGAGGCCCGGCTGCGTCTCCTCCTCGTCCTCCTGGCGGTCGGGAGACGCGTGACGGCCACGGGCGCGCACCCGCACACTCACACCGCGCCGGGCAGCGCCACACATCCTGGAGCGGCGCCCGCACACTCACAAAGCGCCGGGCAGCACCACACATCCCGGAGCGGCCCCCGCACACTCACACTGCGCCGGGCGGCACCACACATCCCGGATCGACGCCCGCACACTCACATCGCGCCGGGCGGCGCCACACATCCCGGAGCGGCGCCCGCACACTCACACCGCGCCGGGCGGCGCCACACATCCCGGAGCGGCGCCCGCACACTCACACCGCGCCGGGCAGCACCACGCATCCCGGGCCGGCGCCCGTCGCTCACACGTGCTGCACGAGGTGAGCCGGGGGCGCCCTGACTGGCATCTTAGCAACGGTCGTGTAGGAGCACCCTCACCAGCGTCAGAAGTGTACTCATACGTCTGAGCGTAGGCAGGCCGAATAACCCCATGACAACCAATGTGTGTAAAAAGAAACGTTCAAATACCTTTCCACGACTTTCACAAAGAACAATAACATTGAGCAATCCTAGGAGATTAGATCAACAGGTCGCGCCAAGTGACGACAAACCGGTTTGTTCGGTTCTAAATAACAGTTTATCAATGATCTAAAGCGAAACTCGCCCGAGTTGAAGCAGATCACTTGTCTTAAGCGTTACACAGCCATATGAAGCCATCGCGTGATTTCTCACGACATTACGCTCGCACTGCATCACGAATAAACCGTGATGAGCGCTGGTTATGGTGGCAGAAAATGTCTGCTGACGATACTTGTGCGATTTGCTTGATTTGGAAGACCTCTAATGAAACGTTTCAAGTGAGAGGGTCATGTTCTAGGTGGACGCTCGCCGTTTAAATATACACATACCGGAGATCGGTCACGTGTGCTTGATTCAAAGTGCAAAAAGGCCCTCTCAAATTTATCCTTATACGCTCATATGTTCTCTTAGAATGGCAATTTCCACAGAATTCTTGCTCGGACCGTTTGCTCAGCCCCTAAGAACACGAAGTCCAACAGGACTTGCTTTCGTTTCAAAAACTTGTGTTTACCACCGTTATTTGGAGACATTGTTACCAAATACCGTGTCATTCATTGTGCGAGAGCTAGAAACAGATAGTCTTAATCAGTGCGCAAAAAGACGAAACTTCACGCTTCAAAATTTCGTTCATGATATAACTTTTACCTCGTCAGCCACGTCATAGCCTAGCCGCAACCTTTTGAGGCAAATCTGTCCCCGCTGTTCAGGTGTTTGCTCACCGATTGGCTAATCTCGGTCTGCGCGAATGTTGAAGGTCATGCCTGAAACCCGCTCCTGCTGTGCACAACACCGATCTGCGTCATGGTGGAGGTCATGCCTGAAATCCATCCCTGCTGTGCACAGCTACCGATCTGCGCCACGTTGGAGGTCATGCCTGAAACCCATCCCTGCCGTGCACAGCTACCGATCTGCGCCACGTTGGAGGTCATGCCTGAAACCCATCCCTGCCGTGTACAGCTACCGATCCGCGCCATGTTGGAGGCCATGCCTGAAGCCCATCCCTGCTGTGCACAACTCTGGCGAGCCTTTTGACTGTCAAGTAAATCAACATGATTCCAGTGTTCCATGCTTCCCGCGAACCATGCTAACTATTCCGTAGAGCATACAGGAGCCACTGGTTAAGCGCACTAAATGCAGAGGGTGTTGGTACCATGGGCGCATGTACCTCATTTCGAATTTGGTTGATGCATAACGGTCATGCGCCCTTTCTGGTAGTCAGCTTTAAATTTGAACTATTTTAGAATGCACTGGAACAATGTTCGTATTCGTCACGGACGTCAATGAACCATTCTTAAGGCACTTAACACCCCAGAAGCAAAAATAAAGCTGGTTCGCACCACGTCTGGACTTAATGGTACAGCATATTGAAACCTCAATATTAAACATGTTTTGAGCCGCGGACCTTGGTGAATCAGGTAAGCTAGGCACCTTGACGAGACGTGGACCTTTTTGAATCAGGTAAGCTGGGCATTCTGACGAATGAAGAAACCGAAATTCGATCAACCGAAACAGGTTATGTGCCTGCCAGAGACCGAGACAGCGCTACTAGCGCCTGCCGAGACACCTACCGAAAACCTGAGAGGATTACACGAGACCCGCTACATTGGAGAGGATCAGCCGTTTGCAAGGCAATGTGTTCCTATACTCAAATGAGCTACTTCATATTCGTATTCCCTGGATGGTGTGGATTATGTAAACAGGCACATCTAACATACGCAGGCCACCGGCGCGCGTCGTCGAGAAACTGCCCAGTCAGCACAACAGGATACGCGGTCGGTGTGTGATGCGACGGACCAACCCACCATCCTGCGATGCTGAGTCACGACACCCTGCACGTACAGCTATCAGCGGCTGCCAGCAGGCGGCTGTGTGCGCTGCAGGAACAGGCATGACGCACACTCCAGTAGGTAACTTAGAGAGACGCTGATTGTCACACGGTCCCGATCTGGGACGCTGGCGTGGCCGACAAACACCTCAAGTGCCGTTTGCGGATCTACATAACTGAACCTCACAACCGCTGTTGCCACCTGCTGCCACGGCGGCGACAGTTATTAGTGGCTTGCTGACACAGAGACAGCTACCGGAGCTCAGACAGGCTTCTACCGCGCCAGACGGGCGTTTTCTCATCTCCGCTGGATTGGAGGACCCCACAGTACCCCTAGTCCTAGTTAAGCTCCCGCTCTCTGGAGAACTAAGCACGCTAGAGCCAGGCTGGCCCTGCACACAAAGACATCGGACTGCAAGCGTAAAACTGCACTCAATGGGTGCCATGGAAACCTGCGCAAGCGCCCCTCCCGCCCCCCCCCCCCCCCCCCGCACACCCACACCCACACACATACCGATCGGTTAAACCAGGTTCACCATTAACAATAGGATAGATGGGTCAGTTGTGCCTTTCTCTGAACAGTATGCCATCATAGAGCGAGAGTGGCACTGTATATCCCTTTGCACACTGCGCCATAAATCCCTCGTATGCAATAGTGGGCATGACTCAGTGAGTTGTACGCGCCATGTCACGCAGGTCCGTCCTTGTGGCCATCGAACATTCCGTGTTATCTCAACAGGTACAGCGCGACAGACACTGCAAACGCCGCGCTACAGCGGATGTCAGACTAGACCGGATATCTGATAATATAGTCCCGGGTAGCACAAATAAGGTCAAGAAAACTAGAATATGATTCTCACACTATCAAATTTGGCGCTTCTGAATCAGGTTGATCCTAGGTGGCCTGATGTACTCACATGTAATCCAACCACATGACCAATAATACGATAGGATATAGCGACTCAATACAGGGATGCCATTTAGAAAGCATGCTCCACGAAAACCCACGTCAGCTGACGTCACGGGTCCCCGCGCCCGCAGCGTCATCGCCCCCCTCTCCTCCCAACCCCTCCCCCCTCCCCACCCGCTCGGTCACGTCACCGGTCTTCCGCACTCTGCCATCACTGATACCCGCCCCGTCACCGACCCCCCTCCCCGCGCCAGGCGACTGACCCGGTCCTCGGAGAAGGAGGCGGCCATGCAGCCGGGCGCCGCCCTGCAGGCGGCCGGGAACTCGGCGCAGTGCAGCGTGACGCGGTCGAGCGAGAGCCGCTTGACGGAGAGCGCCGCCGGCTGCAGCGGGCCGCCGCCGCCGCCGCCGCCATCCAGCTCCCGGCCCGCCTCGTCCATGTAGTCCATGCTGCGTGGCGGGGCACGGCTCGGGTGAGGAGGAGTGCTGGGCTGAGAGCGACGCTCTGGTCGGCCCTCGCTCAGTGACGGGGGCACGGCTCGGGTGAATAGGAGAGCTGGACTGAGGGCGACGCTCCGGTCGGCCCTCGCTCAGTGACGGGGGCACGGCTCGGGTGAATAGGAGTGCTGGACTGAGGGTGACACTCTGGTCGGCCCTCGCCGGTACGCGGCGGCCGGACGGCAGTGTTCCCCGCAAAACGGCACGGTCAGATCTTTGTAGAAACGGCGCGAGCGGCACGCTCAGAATGTACGGCGCCAACAGTGCTGATTGCATTAATCTCGCAATGTGTGACCAGGCTAGTTTGGCAGGCTATAATACGCACGGCATGTGCTTAACGGTCAGGAATGTCTCCCGGAGGGCCTGAGCGACTTGCTATTAAAAACGCCTGCGCAAAACTGCATCCTACACATAACGAGCAGACAGCCGTCGCTCGCCCAGACGCCCAACGTTCGACCAGCGGGCGGTCACCCACCGGGCTATTTTGATCTCGACGCCGACTCCGCGTCCCATCTCCTGGCCCACGTGCTCCAGCCGCACCACCGTGTCCAGGAACCGCACCTTGATCCGCATCAGCACTGGAACGGCCGTCGGCAGTCATTGGACGCAGACAGTCGTGGCAGCAGCACAGGCCGTCACGGCAGCAGCACAGACCGCCACGGCAGCAGCACAGGCCGTCACGGCAGCAGTACAGGCCGTCACGGCAGCAGCACAGGCCGCCACGGCAGCAGTACAGGCCGACACGGCAGCAGTACAGGCCGTCACGGCAGCAGTACAGGCCGTCACGGCAGCAGTACAGGCCGTCACGGCAGCAGCACAGGCCGCCACGGCAGCAGTACAGGCCGACACGGCAGCAGTACAGGCCGTCACGGCAGCAGCACAGGCCGTCACGACAGCGGCACAGGCCGTCACGACAGCACAGGCCGTCACGACAGCACAGGCCGTCACGGCAGCAGCACAGGCCGTCACGACAGCACAGGCCGTCACGACAGCAGCACACGCCGCGCTGAACAGATCAAAATCGTCTCCAGCCAAGATGCAGCACTTTCGATGTCTTTTCGAAATTTACTACGAGACAACGGCAATGAGGGGCGATTTGACACTGGTGCACTTAACACTTGGTGATGTTTGATGTTTTGCATTAGACTGCGGCGACGAACAGCGAACACTTCAAGCGGAGCGACGCCATTCTGGACCGCTCGATACCCCATCCACATCCTGGCCAAATCCATATCCCACACTGGTCTAAATCCCACGACATATCATTCTGACCCAGCCAGAGGGCAGTCTCTCGACCGAGCACCGACCCCATCCCCGTCTCTCCCTGGTCAGCCGGAGCGTCCGACCGGGGTACCGGTAGTGTATTGGTTAAGTTGCGCGGCTGGGGAAACAGAGGTGCGGGGTACGATTCCTCGGTGCCCGTCCTCTGTGCCAGGGTGACTGGCGGGTGACGCCATATAGCCTCAGCAAACAAACGCGCTGTACAGGGCCCCAATGACAACAGCGGCGCGTCCAGCCGCCGCGAGCCCGACCTGAGTCGATGGCGCCGGCCAGCGCCTCGATGCCCTCCAGCGTCTGCGTGTCGGCTTCGACGCGCTGGTCGGCCACCTGGCCCAGACACTCCTTGGCCATGTCCATCGTGCTGGTCGACATGCTGTCCAGCATGGAGTCGAACATGGCCGCTGCGGCGCGGACGAGGCCGGCAGTTAGCGGGGCCGGCGGGCGGAGCGGCACCATACCACAGTGCGAAGACATCGTCAGCAGGGAAACCAGGCATGGGGGTATCACGACGCTGCTTGGAACAGCTGAGGCCACCGACAATGAACTCCGGCCGAATAAAGCGGGTACCAAATCACGGTTACCAAAAGGCGTACTGCCCCAGATCTGCGTACAACATAATGTAGAGATAGTTCAAAGAAATGTAGCAAGCCAAGACAGACCAACACAACGTTACTTGACGTCGCTGCCATGCTGCCAGCCTGAGCGCCCTCTCCTCACAGAGACCCGATACCCCAGCACAGGGCGGCACCACCGCGGCCGGCACCCACCGTCGTCGAGGCCCCTCTCCTCACAGAGACCCGATACCCCAGCACAGGGCGGCACCACCGCGGCCGGCACCCACCGTCGTCGAGCATCTGCTTGGCCTGCACAGTGAGCATGAGGCCGCTGATCTCCACATAGCTGCTGGCCGTGAGCAGCGACGACCAGGGGATGGTGACACGCACACGGCGGATATAGCCGTCCACGAACTCCACGGGCAGATTGTTGGCCGCGCCCACATCGTTAAGCGCCTGCCGGACGAGAAGCTGCCGTCAGCGAGCCGGCGGAGTCGCCGCTGGACACACGTGACAGTGGCGGTGCCTCGTGAAATGTTGGATACCGTTAGTCAGTAATGTTGCATCTGAGCTGAGGACAGGTGAAATAGGCTGGCTCCATGCTGGACATACAATAAATATTTTTCTGAGTGAAGCAAGGGAAAAGCAGTGAGTGGGTTGCATGCAGTTTAGTCTGCAATACACTGGTCAAATGCCATGACTAAGCTGCGCATGTTTGATGGGACAAGATCTGCTTGATTCAGCTTCTGGTCCCAATTCAGGTGGCTGACAAAAAAGATTGAAAACATAGCAATAGTGAGTTGTTTTTGTGCTGCAGGATTCTACAGCAATAGTTCTTCCTGACATTTGCAACCCACTAAAATAACATTTCATAATAAGTATAGTCTCCAAAGAAGCTGTAGAATGGATAAAAGACATGGCATTCCTTATTGAAGAACAATATCTACATTTAAAAAGCAAGGTTCATGATCAGCAGAGCACACACAAAGCATGTCCACATGCCTTGTTTTGGCCAAAGCAACTAATTGTGTTGTCACATCATCGTTCCTTTAGTCATCAGCAGATGATTTATGGCCTTGCCTTTAGCATCCGACTATATCTGAGCCCCTAATTAATTGTATTCTTGCATAACCATCTGCACTGAGCCCTTCATTGGTAAGGTTAATACATACAGTTGTATCCAAAGAAGTTACTAGTAGCCATGTCACATGAATGACCACACTCCAAAGTGAAGGAATGCTGTGATGCAGTTACCAGTGATGCTGCAAGTAGTAGCTTGAGGGTGATATTTGGCAATGAGGTATGGGGGCCCTGGTGGCCCAATGGCTTTCTGAAAGACTCTTCATCATACATGGTGCACAGGCAATCTCAGGGCATGCAATCTTCCCAAAGTCACTCAATATTTGCTACATTGCCTCAGGAGTCCCCTGATGTCAGATCTGGCACGAGCCAATGCATGTGACTGAACTTTGCATGTGAATTCTTGCTAAAGCACAGTGCAAGCATAATGCCTAACTATTCTTATCACTGGGCATGCATACTGATTTAAGCTCTGTGCTTGCAATAAAATGTGTAGACTTAATGTTAAGGTCAGAGGCACTGGGGTGCTTGAGGCTTACAAAGGTGTGAATTCTTGTCTATGGTCAATATGATCATTATGCTCAATGTAGAGCTCAATGATCCCCAATTATCCTATCCTGCATGGGGGCAAAGCAGCATTAACTTTTACACAGGGACTTAACAGACATGGGGCCAATCCTGCTATTTTAACTGTTACCATGCTCCTTGTATATCACTGCTTCTCTGAACAGGAGCTCTCAAATAGGCTTTACATCATTGAATCAAACCTCCTACTGGCCTGGTAGGCCTCTGGTCTTTCCAACTGGGGCCTGCTTTTGGGCTCACAGAGCTTCCAGCAATGCCCTATTCATGCATTTGACATGACATTCCTTTGATCCTCCAGACTTTATCAACTGGAAGGATTTTATCTTGGCTACTTAAAGCCTTTTAAGAGGTAGACATTTTCTCTTGGTTGCCTTACAACCCCTCTTCTGATTTGATTGAAAGTGTCATCTCTATCATTTAGAGCATATAGTCAGTATCATTACGCCTCTTTAAATTGCAAGGCACAATCAAAACAAATAGTTGCTTCCATTGACAAGTGACAATGGAGGTGGCTGCCCTATTGCTTCTCTGGCTGCAATGCCCCTATTGGCATACCAGAACATAATGCTCCAATATATCAAAAAAGCACCATCAGCCTTTCCTTTTCTTCCCCTCCTTTTCCTTTGTGCCTAGATCAAGCATGACAGACACCACTAGATGCAAAAGTCTGAATGCAAAAGTCTGAGTAAAAGGACAATAGCAGAAAATCACAGAAATACCACACACACCAAGCTGTTCCACTGCTAGTGTCATGCAGCTTGATACAAAACTACCTTATGTCAGGGTACAGCTAACAGAATGTTTTGGCCATATGTCTTTGTATATCCAATTACATATTACAACAGACCATGTGTCACAGAGTAAAATGCACCAGTGCTAAAAAGTTCTCCCACACATCTTTAGTTCAGTGATTTGTTCAGGCAACTTTAACCTCTATGATCACTATGAAGGGCAGACCCTGGAGTGTTATTTGCATCCATATTACAAACATTAAGCTAATTTTTGCCTGTTAACAAATCAAAGAGCCTTTCCTAGCATAGGACTTACATCAAAATCCAAAAGAATGTCCTTGATTTCTCCAGTGCCCTCGTAGATGTCGACACTCAGTTGCTCCAAAGTCAGCTTCTCCTTTAAAAATTGACCTAGATATCGCTGCAGTAGATACCTGCAGGCTCTTTTCTTGATGCTATCTGACCATGGAAATTTCCAAGGCATTATGATCTACAAACCCACTCGGATATTGGCCACGACCCCCCAACAAGCAAATATCCTCACAGACAAAGCGATCCCGCGGAACTCCGACGCGACACCACTCGCATAACATCTGCGTTGTGCGTGACGTCATGTTTGTTTTGCTTCTGATCAGCCTGCGTTCAAGAAGTCACTCAAGGACGAGAAGTCACTGCACTAACCATTGCGGTTCAGAAAATAAAGTTTTGGAAAGGGTTTTGGAGCGTATGCGACACCAGATTTTTTCCTTGATAGGTCCATCTTTTCTCAAATTGTGGGAGGCTTGAGTCCTCTCAACTGAATGTGAAATTACACCCGTGGTTTGGAGGATGTTCATGGAGAGACAGAGATTATAGCTTAGCTTAGATATAGCTTAGATAGCTTCCTATTCAACTGGGGCGCACCGCTGTCCCCCCCCCCCCCCCTCTCTCCTTACGCCAACATTGTATCTAGCCTTCCCATTTACCAGTATTCAGAAGACAGTTGGCCAGACAAATCAAGAGACAATTCATTTGAATCGCATTTTGCGAGGTTAATGATTTTTTACGACATCTCCCTTCCCACTCAACTCATTTTGTGAAGCTTCACCGATGCATGAGGATAATTCGCCTGAGATTTAATAGTAATAAATCTACATGTGCCACTTCTATGAAGCTACTTTTTTCTCCATTGCTTCAGAAGATGTACATTTTCACCTTATCCGACAAAGATCAGCAATTAACAAGAAATGAAGGTAATGGACCATGAGGCGTGGGATCAGCTACCTAGAGATGGTTCAAGCTGACCCCGTAAAGACATACATTTTTGACATTGCGCCGAATATGTCCGTCGTTGATAGCGCTTCCATTCCCAGCGCATGCGCAGCGTGCAATTCGCAGCGCTGAGTTTAGCGTGCGGCTGTCGTCGATTTATATAAGGGCTATTGTATGGACGCACAGTGGGCGTATGTAAAAGTCAAGCGCAGAAGCGTCAATCTCGCCCAGCACTCTGGTAGACCGCCGATTGGTTGATTTTCGTCAATGCTGGCAACCGGGGCCTACTGTGCTCACCCGCCAGGGTCGGCCAGCCACGTTCGTCAAATCGGCAACCGATTCAGTTCTGAAGTGCCTGCCCCACAGCTCAAAGAAAGCGCCTTCCTCCCAATCAATACGTGGCGGGGCGTTGGTTCGATTCTGTATGGCGCTCACTATTTGCCCATGGATGGGGTGGACTGGGCCAGGGATTCATGGGGCTTGCCCCCTCCCCCCTCATTAGGTACGAGCGAATTTCTTCACTACGACACTTCTGAAGATAATTCTGGACTTGGTAATCAGAAAAAGCTTGTAAAATTCACAAGTTGGGTTGATGTTAAATGATAAACTGATGTCATGTTTACAGAAACCAACATGAACAACGACGTGTAAAGGGTTAAACCTGCAATTTAGTAGCAAGACAAGCATATAGACCAGTGAGCATGTACGGCACGTAGTTGAAATATTGTTTTACGCACCAGGAAAAAATTGCGTGGATAGCTCACTCGCACGCTTGGCACTTGATGTACCTATAAGCGTTGGTGGGGTCTGTTGGTCCGTTCGCGGTGCGTAGGTACTATCACTGGAGCCCGGACTTGCTCGTAAAAAATAGCTTTCATCGGTCGGAAATCATGGCAGTCGCTCCCCGTGGCAAATCATGGTAGCCTCCCCCTCGTCGCAAATTCTGGCTGCGCCCCTAATCGGCCCGCGGCAGCAGGTGATCAAGATAAGGTGAGGCGAAAGGGCTGGGTATACCGTGCCGCGCATTGCAGTAAGTTAAACCTTCTTCACAGAATTCTGCTGCTGGTCTGGAATTTGACGATGGAATGATGGAGATCGGGTCAGATCAGGTCATACGTAACAAGCTCTGATTGGCTTGGGCTCTGGTCCCAGAAATGCATCCAATGTGAAAGCGTTGCGGCAACCAAAATGCACTCAGATCTGTTGGCTGAGGATCTGACATTGTCATTCACTCTTCAGTGGGCTTTTAGTTGACCTGAAGATCCACACAGATGAAGCGTGACATTCCTATTTCTATGAGCATACAAATCGCGGCCGGCTCGCAACGTCCCAAGTCAAAAGGGCGGTGCGGTCCCACATGGCGGCTCTGCATGCACGACGCCGGTCGAGCATTCAGACTGTGGCGATTCAAGACACGGCGCCAACTTATTTCAATGTCCTGTGTGGATGCGCGAGGAAGAGACCTACGGAGTCAGAGCAACGACAGGTGTGTCGCTATCTACGGCATGGCGCAATGTCGAATCCAAGATATCCCCACAGTCCAAAAAACTTTATGCGCAGGCAGCAAAAGTCAAGGTAATAGCATGCAATGCACAGACAGGTTATATTACCGCGCTTTGTCTGATCAAAATTTTCGTCCCACATTCTCCCCCCCTCCCCCACCTCCGCCTACGTGACTCTTTTTCAACTGATTCGACCACGCAGACCCAGACAGGTACCGTCGAGTCGCCCCTGGCCAGGCGTTCGTACGCCCCGGCGGCCGTGCACCGCTGCTCTCAGGATGGCCGGCATCCCAGCCCTCCGGCAACAAATGGTCTGTGGGTCATTCAAGCCGTCCGCTATCCTAGCCCTCGAGCTACGAACGGTCAACAGCCGGGCCCGTCCGGCCGGACAGCGAACGGTCCATTCCCCTTGCCCTGTATGTGCACCCATCACGCGCGGGCGAGGACCGCCGGCACCGCCTACCAGTGAGGGTGGCTATGACGGCCATGGGCTGACGACAGCCTGTCTCGCACGGCCGGCTTGGGTGGGGACCGGTCCAACCGCACCATGGATGTCGTTGTCTTTGAAAGGGAATGCTGGCCTCATGTTGAAATGACCGAAATGATCTGAAACAAAAGCGTTTTCCCATTCCTCACTTCAGTTGTCATCGCATTACACAGCACCTACCAATTAACACGACTTAACATTTTTTATCGTTTGTTGTATTGCTATAATGCGTTGGAAGGAGGCTGACACAATGGTGGGAAAACATCTTTATAAACAATTATTTTGTCAATGCATAGATTAATCCCCCCCCCCCTGCGGTATTAAATGGCCGGAATCTTGACCTATGTTCAAGAAATTTCCCACCAAATCGTAAAAATCTTCAACCCCCTGAAACTCTTAAATCAGTTAGGTGTCGCTCTGAGATCCCTTTCACCGTCCGTGGTTGCTCCTTTCAGCTGTTGTGTGACGCGATGTCCAACAATTTTTTCACAGCGCATCGTATCATGGTCTGCACAAAGCATCGCCCATGTCAGTCTTTATTTACCTATAATCATTAAACACTGACAAGTCGCTAGAGCTTGAATCTTTTTGAATGCGCATATGCATCTACACAATGTCCGTTAAGCTTCCTAGATTCCAACGCCTACGCATCTGTGACATACGCCAACACGGTCATGCTGTCCTGATTTCTGCGATGGCTACAAAGGCACGGCATTCTCCCACGCGTCCGAAGCGAGGAACACAAAAAAACGTTCATCGAAACCAAATTCAGTGCATCGCAGGGGTGCAAAATTTGCTGAGTGCCATACCATAGCGTCGCATGTCATCGATCTTATTTTTGTGTCCACCTATAAATTGAAGTTGTTAACTGTTTAGCTGTAAATCCTGACTGTCAGTGTTAAGTCGTCTGCATATTATTATGTGTCATCGGCAAGGTAAGAAGCGCCCGGGGCATGGGTATCAAATTCTCAACACGATTGAAGGGGGGGGGGGGGCAGAAAGTGAACGTCGTCTCCAAAGGAGACAGGTACGAAAAACTTCACACATTCGGTCACAGATCCAGAAGAGGGGGGTCATAACCCCCTGGAGAGGCCCAAAGCCGGCTGAACAGATATAGTTTTTTAACACAAAATGCACCAAAATTTAACGTTTCTGGGCTTCCAGCCGACTAAGAGTAATCGAGGGCGAAAGTGAGATGCCCACGAATAGACAAAAATAATTATTCACTGAGGGGGACTGATTGGGAGATTCTAACGCCCTTATGCTGTCTAGAGACCCTATGCTTTTTCGGGGACCTACATGCCCACTGCAAGGTCAATTCAATCGTTAAGAATCGTTCAGGGGGCCTCTGCATTGCGTCTCGGATATTGTTTTAATGCAGGGTCTTACGCCCTTGTCGGGAGTCCCATTTATCAACCTGCTCGGCCACACCTGATCATTCGGGGGCCCTCCACATTGTCTCGGGTACTTCCTGTTTGAATTGAGTGTCCCACGCACTGGTCGAGGGGCCCCTCTGTTCCCCACCTTGGCCACACAGGATTGTTTGGGGACTCTGCACGTATGGCATTTCAATGTAGGGCCCTAAGCTCATATCGGGACCATCTGATAACCTGCTCGGGTACACTCTATCTTACGGGGGCCCTTCGCACTGGGTTTTGGGTAATTCTTATTTGAAAGGAGGGCCTGACGCTTTTGTCGGGCAGCTTTTGATAGGTGACTCGGGTACATTCGACCGTTGGGGGACCTCTACATCGGGACCTGGGTATTTCTTATTTGAATGGATGATCCTATGTTCTTGGCTGGGCCCCATCTATTCAGGTGCTCGGCAGAGGTAAACGAGTGTCTTTTCTGTCCCTGACAAAATTTGGAAAAGCCTGAATTGTCACCTGTAGCTAAACCTAGCAAAAACCGTCACCATATAGGTATAAATGAGGTAAGGCACACGAAACATATACAAATGAAGTGCAATGAGTCATAAACATCACTAATAATCTCATTTGGGATGGTTAATTTGCATTAAAGCATCATTTACTGGCCATGCCAAAACCCCGGTGGCTACGGTGTAGGTCTTTGTGTACGACTGGCTTGCGCAGCGGGCCCAGGGCCAGTGAGCACATTGGTTCGGTTCAAACACAAGGCGTCGCATGTACAGAAAAAAGAGAGAACTGTTTTGTCAGCGGCCGCATCGCAACCATAAATGGCGCGTAATAAACCTCAGGCACCATCTCACGACATACTGGGGCAATGCCAGTGTTGGAGAAAGAGCTCTTGCAGGGTTTAATCCATCCATACAAATCACTCTCCACCGCTTTGCTATCAGTTGTGCACTCTGTTT